CCCGAGAAAGCCCCAATAAGACCCCAAAAGGAAACCAAAACGATCAGCTCTCATCGGCAGCGTTTCTGAATGGGTTGGTGGGGATACGCGAAACGGGGAGACTACAGAATCCAGAATTCAAACACATGGCTATGAAGCACGATCAAACACAAAACCGCTGCGCCAATTGAGAAAGCTGCGCATATCTTGGCGCGAATACGGGAGACAGACAGACACACAAAGGCTAGCAAAGAACGCACGAAGCATATTATCACTTACACGTATCTCGATTGGTGATATCCCAAATTCTCGCAGGCTGTGCGCAAACACTGACACCGGCATGCTTCCACCGACTGCTGTCTCAAAACGACATGTGCAAATGCTTGCCTTCTCGTCGGGAACAAGCCGCAACCTAATGTGGATTGATGTCTAGGACCAACTCTCGAGCCGTCCCTGATCCCTCCTGGCGCGCGGCGCATCAATAAGACTACTGCATCGATCGCTCCCTCAGCCATTGCCCAGTTTTGCCTGGCAACTCGTTCTTCGTCTAACAAAACCACCAAATCTGAATTGAGGCATTGCCACGGCACTGTGGTGCGTCGCCCATGCTACAAGCTTGCATGGACGCGCGTATCCACGCACTACGATCTACCATTGAGTTCCGATCGACGAAGCACCCGAACACTACTCGCAGGCGTATGGGACGACCACAAAAATCTCCGAACGACAAAGAAGAGACCAAGGCTGGCAAGAACGACATGATGGATATATAAATTTAGATATACACGCATATATAAACCAACACGCAGCAAAACAAACAAACAAACAAACAATCAATCATACATACATGCATACATACATGCATGCATCTATATATATATATATATATATATACATACATACATACATACATACATACATACATACATGTGTTGGAAACAACAAATTACTCCGACGGAAGGACCCCACATGATAATATCTTTAGCTTGCATGGGGGTATCCTCCTGCCCCTTCCCTTCTCCCACCTACTCTTGCCTCCTCGTTCTCCTCCTGTCTGGTCCTCCTCCTGCCTCAACCCCTGCCTCTTCCTCCTCTTCTTGCCTCCTCCACCTCCTCCCCCTCCCCCTCGTTATGCTTCCTCCCCCCCATTCCCCCTGCCCCTCCTGCCTCCTGCCTCCTCCTCCTGCTCTCCCTCTCCCTTCTCCTCCTCCTCCTCCTCATCCCCTGTCCTCCTCCTCTCCCTCTCCCTCATCCGCTTCCTCCTCCTCCTCCTCCTCCTCCTCCTCCTCCTCCTCCTCCTCCTCCTCCTCGTTTCCATATTCTTCCCCCCTCCTCCCCCCCCCTCCTCCTCCTCCTCCTCCTCCTGCCTCCTCCTTAGGCCTCCTGCCCCCTCCTGGGGCCTCCTGGGGCCTCCTGGGGCCTCTTGGGGCCTCCTGGAGCCTTCTGGGCCTTCCGAGGCCTACTGGGGCCTCCTCGGGCATTCTTCCTCCTCCTTTTCCTCCTCGTCCTTCCTCCCCTCAGCCTCTTCCTCTTCCTGCTTTCCTGTCTCGTCCTGCATCATCCCTCCTCCTTTTCCTGGCAATCCTCCTCCTCCTCGTCCTCGCGCGGAACACGACCCAGAGGAAACGCACGACGTGCGTCCCAGCCGATACGCGCCGGAGGACGACCCAGAGGGAGCGCGCGCCGGAGGATGACCCGGAGGAACCACGTGAGCTGCGGGACCCATAGGAAGGCTCCCGCCTGACGCGTCCTCACAATTCACTCACAGACGAGGGTCCCGCTTGATACTTCTTCCAAATTCAGACCTGAGGAGCCCAAAAGTGACGACGGTTACAAGAATCCGATGACCCGCTCGGATTAGTAACATGATCTGCGGGCCCCATAGGGAGGGGGTTCCCGCTTGAGACTTGCTTGCAATTCACTGACAAACGAGGCTCCCGCTTGATACTTCCTCCAAATTCAGACCTGAGGAGCCCAAAAGTGACGACAGTTACAGGAATCCGATGACCCGCTTGGATTAGTAACATGATCTGCGGGCCCCATAGGGAGGGGGCTCCCGCCTGAGACTTCCTCACAATTCACTCACAGACGAGGTTCCCGCTTGATACTTCCTCCAAATTCAGACCTGAGGAGCCCAAAAGTGACGACAGTTACAGGAATCCGATGACCCGCTCGGATTAATAACATGATCTGCGGGCCCCATATGGAGGGGGCTCCCGCCTGAGACTTCCTTACAATTCACTCACAGACGAGGCTCCCGCTTGATACTTCCTTCAAATTCAGACCTGAGGAGCCCAAAAGTGACGACAATTACAGGAATCCCCCCCCCCGAATGAACCCGCTAGGATGTATAAAACATGATCTGCGGGCCCATGGGTGAGGGGGCCCCGCCTGAGACCTCTCACAATTCACTCATTCCTCACAATTCACTTCACAGACGAGGCTCCGCCTGATACTTTCCTCAAATTCAAGCCTGAGGAGCCCAATGACGACAGTTACAGGAAATCCGAATGACCCGCTCGGATTTAGTAACATCGATCTGGGGACACTAGGGAGGGGGCTCCCGCATCTCTTGACGCGTCTCCACAATCATCACAGACTAGGGTCCCCGCTTGATTAAACTTTCTTCCAAATTCAGACCTGAGGAGCCCAAAAGTGACGACAGTTACAGGAATCCGATGACCCGCTCGGATTAGTAACATGATCTGCGGGCCCCATAGGGAGGGGGCTCCCGCCTGAGACTTGCTCGGAATTCACTCACAGACGAGGCTCCCGCCTGATACTTCCTCCAAATTCAGACCTGAGGAGCCCAAAAGTGACGACAGTTACAGGAATCCGATGACCCGCTCGGATTAGTAACATGATCTGCGGGCCCCATAGGGAGGGGGCTCCCGCCTGAGACTTCCTCGCAATTCACTCACAGACGAGGCTCCCGCTTGATACTTCCTCCAAATTCAGACCTGAGGAGCCCAAAAGTGACGACAGTTAGAGGAATCCGATGACCCGCTCGGATTAGTAACATGATCTGCGGGCCCCAATGATCGTTCGATGCCGATGATGGTGAGTGATCGTGCGATGGTGATGGTGATGCTGATGGTGATGATGATGATGAGTGGGGAGTGATGGTGATGGTGATGATGATGCGGAGGACGAAGCAAAGAGGAGCAGAGGAGAGGGAGGAGGACGAGAGATCCTGCGCGGAGGATGCGCAGAGAAAACAAGAACCCCACTTAGGATGTGGGGAACAAGGAATCAGCATGACATCATGTAGCAATAGCAACAAACAATTTAACACTGATCGTTCCTACCTGCTCGCGTGCCATTCTAAACCGCCCTATTCGTATTCGATCGTAACCCCATTGGGCGTATATCTTCCTAACCTGCCACGCGCGTGTACCGCAACCCCTGAAACAGGAGCATGGGGGACGGATGGAAAAAGGGCAGGGGAAAGGATGGAGTACGAGAGAAAGTAGCACGAGGGGAGCCAGAGCAAAAAAACACGTGGTAGAACCAGACGGGCAGATCGAGCGGACCGGCGGGTCGGGAAGGCGGGCCCAGGCGACCAAATCGAGAAGGCGGGTTGCTGAAGCGTAAATCCTGCATGAATCATGGTGGAATCTCGAACGATAACGCGATTCTCAAGTACATGAGTTTTACTAATACATTCGGAGGAAGCAGATTATATACATACACACACACACAGACATACATACATATATCCTGGCGAAACACTCAACCATTTGCAATTGTGGGTACCGAAATTGTGGATATCTTCTTCGGTGAAGCTCCCCAACACCTGCAAATGATAACATGGAAAATGAAGACCTTGTACATGCAAACAATATCCAAAAAAATGATGCCGAAAAAATGTGCCCGAAGAAAACGTAAATTTGAGCAGCATGTCATCCAATATCAATCGAAATTAATACAGAGCCAGCCCATAAAAATTCAGACATTCTCTGCTCGAACGATGGCAAAAAATCTTGGTGGGTAAATGTAAGAATTGTGCAAAATGCACACTTGCTTACGCATTTTGTTACAGGAAGAATAAACACGAAATGACAGACTTGGATATTGCGAGAATGAGAGAGATGCAAAGCATGCTAAACTTCAGTTCGTAGCCATTTGGGCTCAAGAGCAATTGCGGTTCAAGAGCACTTCCGGTTGCTCTAGCTTTGGGCTTGCGCTCCCCGCGCGTGGCGCTTGTGATTTGTGTGAACTCCGGGCGAAATAAGATTGCACGCGAATCTCAGAATCAACATGTCGGGCGCATCGCCAGTGCTCGGCAGCCTCGTGGAGCGTCTGCGTCGCCCACGCTGGGGCCGCCTCGAGACGCTGGCCGGCGTGCGACACTCCCACGCTCGCGGGGAAAGTCAAGGGCCCGCGGAAGTCCCCCGCTGCTCTCGGGGACCCTGCAGGGCCCGACAGCGGGCCCCCTGGGGCCGCCGTCAAGACGACTCGGGATGGAACGCTTGGTCCCGTGGAAAGCCCTGGGCTGAAGGGCACCGAGAGTGGGGGCCTGGCTCACCGTAGGGGGATAGCATCGACCTGGACTCGGCGACGCATCGTGGAGAGATCCGCACTAGGCCCCGACAGCGAAGCTCCGCGTTCCTGGGCTTAGGGGCAACGAGGGTGGGGACCTGGCTCACCTTAGGGGGATAACATCGACCTGGACTCGGCGACACATCGCGGAGAGATCCGCCCTAGGCCCCGATAGCGAAACCCCAGCATCCCGTCGGCGTGGAATGGGCGACTGAAGGTCGATGCATCCCCCCCCTGAGCCTACCCCCCAAGCGTGTCTTCCGTCGCCTGGCTCGCGGGTCTCCAGCGGCCGTCGGGTACCATCCGGGCACCCTCGGACGCCTCTCGGCTAGGCGCAGCTGCTGGTACGCATCCCGAGGCTGGAACGTGCCGAGGACCCACAAAAGCATCCCCCCCTCGAGCCTACTTATACCCCCACCTGACGTTACCCCTGGATGACGCCCTGGGGCCCAAGACGAAGCACGGCGGCGACCCGATGTCTACAACGCGAAGGCGTCCGCGACGGTCTCGCCCGCCGAGGCCCCGCTCAGGAGCCGTCCGCCTGGCAGGGCGGCGTCGGCGCGGCCGAGCCCGGGGTCCAGCCTGCCCGCGCCCAGCTCGCCCGCCAGCCAGTCGCGCACGCCAGCGAGAGGCGCGCCAGGCGCCGCCCGCACCCAGCAGCGCTCCACCCCGCCCAGGGTCAGGAAGCGCACCTCGCCAGGAAAGAAACGGATCCTCCAGCTTTCCGCTGTGACTTTCGCCTCCCCAGGCCCCCCGCGCGCCCCAGGGCTGTCAGAAAACGGCTCAGGATGAAAGTCTGCTCCACCGGGGGACGGCCTGGGCCCCGGGGTCCAGGACCAGTTCCCCTCGGGACCCGTTCCCTTCATGCCAAGCACCGCGCCACCGTCCAGCGACGCCTGCAGGAGCAGCGTCGCGCCGACGAGCAGGCGCGCGGTGTACGTCAGGCCACCGTCCAGCGCCAGCACGTTGCACTGGCCAGCGTAATTCAGGCCGAAGGCCACGGCCGTGCCGTCGCTCCTGAGCAGCGCCGTGTGTTCACGTCCCGCAGCGACCTGCGTGTAGCTCAGGCCACCGTCCAGCGCCGGCACGTTGCACTGGCCAGAGCGATTCCCGCCGAAGGCCACGGCCGTGCCGTCGCTCCTGAGCAGCGCCGTGTGTTCACGTCCCGCAGCGACCTGCGTGTAGCTCAGGCCACCGTCCAGCGCCGGCACGTTGCACTGGCCAGAGCGATTCCCGCCGAAGGCCACGGCCGTGCCGTCGCTCCTGAGCAGCGCCGTGTGTTCACGTCCCGCAGCGACCTGCGTGTAGCTCAGGCCACCGGTGTGCGCTGCACGTTGCACTGGCGGGCGTGATTCCCAGCCGGAAGGCCACGGCCGTGCCGTGCGCTCTATGAGCAGCCGCCGTGTGTCACGTTCCCGCAGCGACCTGCGTGTAGCTAGGCCACCGTCCAGCGCGGCACGTTGCACTGGACGCCGTTGATTCCAGCCGAAGGCCACGGCCCGTGCCGTCGCTACTGAGCAGCGCCGGTGGGCACGTTCCCGCAGCGACCTCCGTGTAGCTCAGGCCACCGTCCAGCGCCGGCCACGTTGCACCGGCGGCGCCATTCCCGCCGAAGGCCCACGGGCGTTGCCGTCGCTCATGAGCAGCGCCGTGTGCCCCCTCCCGCAGGCAACTGGGTGTAGCTCAGGCCACCGTCCAGCGCCGGCACGTTGCACTGGCCGCCGTGATTCCAGCCGAAGGCCACGGCCGTGCCGTCGCTCCTGAGCAGCGCCGTGTGGGCACTTCCCGCGGCGACCTGCGTGTAGCTCAGGCCACCGTCCAGCGCCGGCACGTTGCACTGGCCGGCGCGATTCGCGCCGGAGGCCACGGCCGTGCCGTCGCTCCTGAGCAGCGCCGTGTGAAGGTATCCCGCGGCGACCATTCGTGGGCGCGGTCGGGAGGCCCGAGGGCCTGCGGACGGGGAGCGCGCGCGGGCTCCTGGGAGCGCTCGGGGCTCCCGGGGGGGCCGCGGCTCGAGCCGGAACGACAGGCGGGCAGAGGGGCGGCCCACGGGGCCCTCGCGCCTGGAGGCCTGGAGGCACCTGCGTGCCCGCGCCCCGCGATGCGCGAGGCGCGGCTCTCGCCGCCCCCCGCCGAGTGGCCGTGAGGCACCCTGGGGCACCCTGCCGGCGCCGGCCCCGCGCGCGCGGAGGGCCACGCGACGCGCGCGAGGCCGCGCGCGGGACTTCCTTGCGCCCTCGCGCCGTCCCCTCTCCAACGGGTAAAGCGACTCGTAGAGCTTCCCTAAAAGCGTTAGCGGCGAAGCTAGAAGAGTAATTCCCTGGTCTGCTAACAGACCTAGGTCTGCACAACTATTTGTATTCCACCGATTTTTTCTGAGATGATGATGAGTTTCTTCACTTAGCTCAAGCTTCAGATGAGCTGGAGAACTCGTTGGCACAACAATTGGCAGGAACTCATCAGACGCAATAGTCTGAAGTATCTAGACGCCTGAATTCGGTTTGCTACTAGCACAAAAACAGGACAACTATTCGTACTCAGATTTTTGTTTGGGAGATGGAATTGTTTTTCTCGACTTAACTAGAGCTGCAAATAAGCTACAGAGCTCTTCGGCACAACAACTGGAAGGAAATCATCAAGCGCGCTGGTTAAAAGTATCTAGACGCCTGAAATCAGTCTGCTATTAGTGCGCGGGCTG